TTCTCTCCAAGCCCAACCACACACCGACCAGCAACTGCTCGACCTCTCCGGGCAACATTGGCAGCGGTACCTCTTCTGCGCTTGAATCTCTGTCCGCTGAGTCTCCTGGCTCGAACTTTATCAACTCCCAGCTGTCAGCGGTGGCTGCTGAACTGTGTGATCTCGACGATTTGCCCAAGTTGATTTCACTGAGCAATACTTCCAGCCACCATAATATGCTGCAACAATCCGACACTTCTTTGGACTTTTTCACCGAATACTCACAGCGAACAAACTTGAACAACATTTTTGACGAAGAACGCTCTGTCACCACAAAGAGCAGCAGCATCGACTCTAATGCCTCCAACCTTACCATCTCTTCAGTGACTCCTCCGAGTGTTAGCTCCAACCAGTGCTTCACCATTACAATGGACAACTCGCAGGACTGTTCTTTTGGCGGAAAATTCGAACCGCGTTCAGCTTTAATGCTCGACAAACGATCAACTGCAGTGGAAGTGGCTTCTGCCTGTCTCAACGAGTCTTTCTTATCGACACCAAGTACATCGAGTGGCAGTGTTTTCAATCATAACTCGCCGCCTGTCGCTTCTTTGGTAGATCGCGATTTGCTCTACCGTTTGATCATTAGGTACGTAGGCTTTTTCTCGTTCATTATTAATGCAACTGCAATCCGATTTCTCCTATTATCCACTGTTATGCTGTCTTGCCACCGTGGTTTCGGTCATACGAATTGTCGTGCCCAATTAATATTTAATTACCTTTATTCCTTTTTCTCTTCTCTCGTTTATGAACCACTTACTTTCTTCCAGCCAACTACTGTTCCACGGTCATCGCTCTATTGCCAATCAACTGGCTTCAGCTGAACGCATCAAAGCCGATGGATCGCTACTCTCACCAAGCGATCGTTTGCATACACTGGTCTCTGTGGCTTTCCGCAATGAAATCAGTAAGTCACACCGAGGCATCTCTTTATTGGCCTTTTCTCTATCTTTCCCTTTAAAAACCAGCACCACCAGTTTTCTGACCTTTCATTTCCTTTTTTGAATTTTCTTTACATTAGACCAAATTTCGGCAAATCCAACCCCTGAGGTTACTGTGTTCGGCAATCATCGCCCAACCGCCAGTAGCGCGCCTTTTCAGTTATCCGATGTAAAAGAACCTTTGAATAATGGCTTAGCTTCACGATCGAGTGGCGACGAAAGCACTGGATTTTCGCCGGCTAAAAGTAAACAATGCTTCTGTTTTTTTCATTTTCTATTTCTGCTATATTTATCTTTTTATTATCATTTTTCAATTAGATGTGTTCGAAAGGTCTCAAAGTCATCTGGGCCATTCAGTCTATTCTGCGTTGATGTTCAACCACGGCAAAGGAGGCATTGAGGGGGCTAATTCTGGCGAAGCTAATGCTAACTTCAACGAAGTGTCCGGTACGATTTGGTCACCAAAAGGCATTCTGACCGATAACGATTGGCAAAAACATTTTTTGGCAGATGTGTTCGGCAACGTCTCTTCAACGGACTTGTACTTTGGAGGCCAAGGTGGCTCTCGCTCGTCAGGCATGGTCGTTGGCTGCAATGGTCAGGCTGGCATGATGAAACAGCTGAGTCACCCGAGCAGCTCACACTTGGACACTTCGCCAATGAGCGTGAACCGCTCTCAGTCGAGTAACTCACTTCGCTCTGGACCAATTGAAATGGGCACGCCAACTGGCTCGACGCCTGTCAAGTCGCCGCCGTTGCTGGCTTCAACGGTGCTCGATCTGAACACTCCGTCGGGCAGTGGTGCAATGAACTTTGTGCTCAATGAAAATGCCATGAAGAACTTGAACCAGCTGGCTCAGATTAACGAGAGTGCTTGCGGAAGTAGCTCTCTCACTGGCAATGGCAGTTCCAGCATCTTTGGTCGTTCTGCCTCAGCGATGGCCTCCATGGGCCCCAGCAGCAGCGCCACAGTTGCCAACACTTTGGCTTCGGTGATGGCAGTCCACCAGATGGTGGCTCATGGCACTAAGAGTCCAATCGGTTTGTCGGCTACACCGAATGGCTCGTTGATCAATGGCGGTGCTTCCAGTGGTCCGTCGCACACCACCGGAAATGGAAAGAACCACAAGATCATGCAAATTCGCTGCAAGTTTGGCTCGTTGGGCCCACAGACTAATCAGTTCTCTTCGCCGCATGGCTTTTGCCTGGGCGTCAATGAGGAGATAGTCATTGCCGACACGAACAATCACCGCATTTGCGTCTACGAGAAGAATGGCACTTTTAAGCATGCTTTCGGTAATGCTGGCAAAGATGAAGGTCAGCTCTGGTATCCTCGAAAGGTAAACAGTTTTTTATTGCTTGTGTGAACTAAAACTTTAACTTTTGAAACTTGTAATTCCTTGTAGATAACAATGATAAGTTCTGCAAACGTTCGTGGTACCCTGCAGAATCCACTGTACGTGATTTGCGACCGCGGCATGGAGCGTTCACGAATGCAAATATTCACCCGTGCAGGCAACTTTGTGCGCAAAATTCCTATTCGCTACATCGACATTGTCGCCGGCATTGCCGTCAACGCATACGGACAGATAGTAACTGTCGACTCTGTCTCGCCCACTATCTTCATCATTTCCGAGACTGGCGATCTGGTCGAGTGGTTCGACTGCTCGGACCACATGCGCGAACCGTCGGACATTGCCATCTTCCAGAAGGACTACTACATCTGCGACTTCAAGGGCCACTGCGTGGTGGTCTTCAACGAGCGCGGCAAATGTGTTCGCAAAATCGGCATCGAAAGTCTGACCTCGTTTCCAAACGGAATTGACATTAGCGCCAACGGTGACATTCTCGTGGGCGATTCACATGGAAACCGTTTTCACGTGGCCATCTTCAACCAGGAGGGAAAACTTCTCACCGAATACGAGTGTCCATACGTGAAGGTGTCCCGTTGCTGTGGACTGAAGCTGACATCGGAAGGCTATGTGGTCACACTGGCCAAGAACAATCACCATGTCCTGGTGCTGAACACTCTCTACATNACGTGAAGGTGTCCCGTTGCTGTGGACTGAAGCTGACATCGGAAGGCTATGTGGTCACACTGGCCAAGAACAATCACCATGTCCTGGTGCTGAACACTCTCTACATCACTAATGCTTCATCTAATATCCTCTAATTTGGTATGTGCGTTCCCCTGAAAATTCTAGAGCTTTGAGCAATTGTTGATTTGATCTCTTTTTTATATCATCGTGCAAGTTTTTAATTTTGCGTATTATTTTTTTTTATTTATTGCATTTCAGTACTCTTTATATATGATTATTATCCACTATTCATTTGTAGCCTTTTGGTTAAACTTTTTCTTTCTTCCTTTCGATATCAGTATTCCTTATCAATAATATATTTCATTAAAACTGTACTTTGAGTTACTTGTAGGGCGCTTACAAATCTTTCATAATAATTGGCCACCAGTTAATTAATACTTTCCTTTTGCAGACTCGTCACTTACCGACACAATAGAATCACGACCACCACCTTCCCACCACCACCATCACTACCACTTCTACTGATTGACATTCTCTCCTCTATACTCATTCTACACTTTACAAGTTTCTCTTTTGACACAATTTTTTATTTTGATTTTATTACGAACTTTGTTGTACAAAATTATTTGCTTTCACACCCAAAAGCGCTCTAGTCGTTAGGAAATCATGCACGACACCTTTCTTTGCAAGCCAAAGCTGCACAACTATTTTCTTCTTTGCAACGGCTGGTTAAATTCTCTCGTAACTTAGCTTTCCAGTGCACTATCTCCACTACCATATAGATATTCATCGTTTCTTGGTTATTAATTTACTAAACCAGCCAAATAGTATTTCTTTCTTGCAAAGATGACGTTTCACCTTGAGTTCCTATAGAGCCAGCAATCTTAGCAGTCCAATCTTGCAATCTTTTAGAGATTAGTTATTTATGCATAGCTACAGCAACAAGTCGTATCCAAATACCTGTGAATCGCACAGCTTTCAGTTGTCACTGTTTGGCCTGTTTTCTACCTTTGGTCACGGTGGCAGTTGTGGCCCGTCATTTGAGCAGTACACATTTCCTCCTCTTCTTTTTCCTTCAGTTCATTTACAATTTATACTTAGGGTTTATTTCAATTTTTCTTTATATTATACCAATCTTTTGATTTTCAATTATTTCCAACTTATATACTTTTTCTCAATGTTTTTGTTGTTACTGATTTTTTGTTCCTTTACACTTCTTCCTACATCATCTTTACATCGACTCATCTGAGCCATTTCATATCGCTTTGCTGTCACCTTTTACCAACATAAGTACCTAGGATGGAACTTTGATAAACTACACACCCATAAGCATACACCCCAACATTTTTCTTTCTTTTACCCAGAACGGTTTGGACACGTTTGTGCAATGTGATTTGTGATCTTACCATTTACCTACGTGCGTGACATGTTTTGCATTTATATATTTTTGGTCCACTGTTGAACAACGTACATCTAGAAACTGACTTTTTCAAATGGCAACAAAAATATGACACACACATTACGATTTTTGTTAATCTGAGAAAGTTACTTAACTTGATCTCTCTGTCTAAATCTGTTGGAATTACCTCTTTTCTTTAACTATATCTTCCCCACCTATACTAACTTATAAACGATGATTCTACTTCTTTCACGACACTGTTTTCAGTTTGCTTACCTCTCTATTTACCTTTTGTTCTTTACAAAACCCCCCGTTTTGACTATTGTTCCAGGGACGATTTGTCATTTTCCAAATATTGCCACCACCCAAATTGCAGTTACTGCTGATTGTAATGATGCACAAACACCTGAAAACACTCATCAAACAAAATGCGCTGTAGTACTCAAAAACGAAATGTATTTTTGCTATTTTCCCTAATCAGAATTATTTTTGATAATCGGAAAGCAATATGTAGCACTGTGCAGAGACAATACAAGAATGAAAAGAAAGACAATGCAAGTGTTACATCGAGCATGATATTATTATTTATTCTTTTAATATTTCAGGGCACTTTACCACATCTAATCGACACTGAAACATTGTATCCTTAAACACAAATTGTCAATGCAAGTTCACACAATAAAAAGCATATTTTTAAAATTTTGGTTTCTTTGCAGAACTTTTCTTTTTTGAAACCGACACTGAGAACTTAAATACTTCATTGCGCAAAGTGATATCAGCCGCTCGTTCTCCAAGGCGCACGTAGACAAAAGAAGCAAAAATGTTTTTCTTGTTCATAAGTGTATCTTCGGCAAGGAACTTTTTGGCTATTAGCTCTTGCACAAGTCGCGTTACGTCGTTGCGTATTAAGTGGCTACATATTGCATAGAAACCAGCTTTGCGATGATGATCCCGAACGTGTTGATCTTTCGAGCCTACAAAATAAGGAAGAACAATTATTATGTGATGACTTTACACAACAGCTTACCGCAAAGAATGCTGATTAGTTGAGTTGGTGATATGTTCTCCTTACGAGTCGGAGAAAAAGGTCCAACGAGTTGGCCAAGAGACGACAGAATAATCTTCACAATATCAGTAAAGTTCTCCTCTTTGTAGTCATCCCTTGTAAGGCAATTATCACAGGCAGAATCCGGATCCATGATACAGTTATGTCGGTCAAAGTTTTCTCCAAAGTATTTGAGAATTTGAGTACGACGACATTCGGCTTTATTTGCACAGAACTGTTGAACATCATAGAGGTAGTTCATAGACGTCTTTAGCATTTCCTTATTGAAAGTGGACTTTGTCATCAACGTCTTCCATCGGTTAAAGTCTTGAGGTGTGTAATACAAAATGCACGTAGAGAGCTCTCCGTCTCGCCCAGCTCGACCGACTTCTTGGTAGTATCCTTCGATTGATTTAGGCATCGAGTTGTGGATGACAAAGCGCACATCTGCCTTATCAATTCCCATTCCGAATGCAATTGTGGCCACAACTACATGGTACTTTCCGTTGATCCAGTCATTTTGAACCTTCTTCCTGGCAAAGTCATTGAGTCCAGCGTGATATGCGACCACTTTAAAGCCATCGCCAACAAGTTTGTCAGCCAAAGTATCGCAATCGTTTCGTGAAAGACAGTAAATGATGCCACTTTTGTTTTCATACTGTTGAGCAAGCATCAGTACAATATCTTCATATGTTTGCTTATTTTTCGATCGAACTTCGAGCTTAAGATTTGGACGGTTAAAGGATTGCATAAACCACTTGGCATTCTTAAGTCCTAGTTGATTTGCAATGTCAAGTCGAACCTGCAGAAAAAAGTATTTGAATATTAATTCAATATAAAACATAAGCAAAAACTGTGTACAATACCTTTTGGGTGGCAGTCGCTGTGAGTGCAATGTAGGGAACTTTTGGAAACTGTGTTCGAAGATTGGAGAGCTTCTTGTAGTCAGGACGAAAGTCGTGTCCCCACTGACTCACGCAGTGCGCTTCATCGATGACAAATCGAGCAAGTAGATTGCGGTTGTACAGATCCTTTAACAGAGACATCAGTGAGCCGCTTGCACTTATTTTCTCCGGTGTAACAAAGACAATTTTGATTGTCGGTGCATAAGATCGTAAATTAGCAAAGATGTCTCTTGAATCTTGCAAACCAATGTCCCCAGTCAGCGAAACAGCGCAGCCTTTGCTTCGTTCATTCATTTTAGTTTCTTGGTCAAGAATTAGCGAGCGAAGCGGCGAGACGACGATAGTGACACCAGGAGAAACCATGGCCGGCAACTGGTAGCACAGACTTTTGCCTCCTCCGGTTGGCATGATAACGAACACGTCAAAACCGAGAAGAGCAGAATTGATAGCTTCAAGTTGATTTTGGCGAAATTCAGTGAGATTGAAAACCTTTTTGAAGACTTCGAGCATTTTTTTAGAGTGCTCCAAATTACGAGACTTTAATTTCGCCTCATTTCCATCATTTTGAAAGAGGCCGAAAAACTGTGATCCCTTGCCCAGAGATGGTCGGCCTGATTGTCCTGTGCTTGTTGAAGGTGTGCTCGAATTAGCAGGAAAGAAGGGTCGATATTGGTTTAATGGCAAAGTATATCCATCTTCGGTAACTGATTGGTTGAGATCCATTTCAACGAAACTCGTTTCGGCCTGCAATGCTTTATTTAGAATTTGCTCTCCTGGGGTTGAAGGAGTTGCTTTGAGAGGGTCGACAATCTGTGCAGTGCTGGAGTTTTGAGCACGACTAGTGCTTGGCGTATCTCGGATAAATTCAGTAAATTCTTCCATATCTTCATACATTTCGTCCCAATCTAAATCGGTCAAATCAATAGTTGAGGCTTTTGACTTGTCGGCATCCGTCTCCGTTGGAGCCGTCTTTTTAGGAGGAGGAGGAAGAATTTTTTCGTCATCAGAAAGGCAAATGACATCCTCTTCGTACTTTTCGAGGCGACGAAAAGGCTTTTGAGTTCCGCTAGTTGATGGTATTGGTGATTCAGAAAGAAGAATAATATCATCCTCGTCGTCTCTTTTTTGAAACACGGGTTTGGGGGCATCTTTAGAGGTCGATGAGCAGAATCGTTTAGAAGGAAAGGCCTCATCTTTGACGGTCTCATCAGGCAGTATATCTTCCAGTTTGGGACGCGCTTTGAAGCGCTCGAAGCACTCCATAAGATTGTTTCGAGGTATCATTTCTGGTCGTGGATCCTGTTTACGCCGCGTAAATTACGCGCAACAAAACATTTGAGAAAATATCAACTGTTGACAGTTGCCGTTTGAGCCTGTGCTGTTACAATAGCAGCCAATCAAAATATCCGTTGGGACAAATGAGCGAACTGATATGTGAACAAAAGGCAGTGTTTCGAACTTCGAAGCCCCGTCCCTTGAAACAAAGTCTAGAATTTTATTAACGTTGTCCAAAAAAGTTAACAAAAATTTTTATTGGCATTAGTAATCAACAACTGATTTATTACTTTTACAAAAGGTGAGTCACAAGTTTTCAAATAGTTTTCTGGTGTGTGTGTTTGCCCATTCCAAAGTGTTGATAATGCAAACAGCCTTTCAAATAACTGACAATGATCGCAAGCAAGCAAGCACCAGCATTGATTGCTCTCACTGGTGTCGATGGCACTGCGGTGACCCTCGAAGGAGACACCGTACGCCTAGCAAGCGGTGGAAAGCAAAGAGGGTAAGCCGAGCAGATCGAGAAAGTGAAAGAAGTCGATGACTTCTAAGTTGAAGCAATAAAGGAGAGGGATTCTCTGGAAGACGACATCGACTGGGCACACTGCATTCGCTGTCCGCCTCTGCCAGTGCTGGCACGGCTGTGCGCCGTTGCCTCGAAGCAGCGCCAACGGCTTGCCGTCTTCTTCTGCCACCACAAAACAAGCAGGGTGAATGAATCGATGACTGAAAGACTAGTGACCCTCGAAGGAGAGAGAGAGAGAGGCTGCACAACATGGCTGCATGGCGCCGAGGAGGGCGCCGAGTGAATGTTCGCTCACTGGGCAAGGTGAGTGTCCTCCGTGGCCTGAGTGCAGGCAGGCAGGCAGGCACTGCAGCCACATCGGCGTCCACATTGGCGCTCTGTTGCTCGGGCGCTCCTCTTTCTCGGTTGTTTACCCCACTCAGGCTGAGAAGAAGCGGCAGCCACTGAAAGAGGGATACCCTCGCTCGGCGACACTGTCTCTCTCTCCCATACAGTTCTGCCAACTGTATGTGTGTGCACTTGTCCCTTACACAAATTCCCTCTATCAGCCACTATTGAGTACCAGCAGCAGTGTGACTGTATGTGTGTGCTCTTCAGACGCCCTAAGCTCCCACGACATTGAATTCGATTCAGTGTTTGCACAATGCGCCGTCGCCAACACCTAAGTGCCAAAGACTGGCAAACACATCTGCCAAGCTGTTGTCGAAAAATGGCGTCTTTTTGGGTAGCTTCTGCAAAACCATTGAACTCTAGCGCTGCCTAATTAATGGACATTCACTTTTTGGCACTACAAGTTTGCTAGAACTGCACTTACACAGTTCACTCTTATAATAGAATTTAGAAAAGCTTTTTCATAAATCGTTTTTAGTGGCTTATTCATAAATGACTCTGTTTACTAGCATAAAGGAAGGCTGGTTCAAGAAGTGTACTATGCAGAAACTAAGTTATCAAGAGCCCATTCTTAGAAAAATTACTATTTTTATCTCAAAAGCTCTCAACTCGAGTATTCGGTTATAAAGTTCAATATCGAATGTTAAATTTGATTTTAAGAAAAATTTTAAATTCTTGTGAAAACACTTTTATTCTGTCAACGACATTTGCCACTTCAACCCTCTCAATCTTTACAACTTACAGTTTCCAATTACTAAGTTGTTATTGAGTTACAACATTCAAAGAAAGTTATTTTTCAAACTTTGCCATTTTGTAATTATAACTAATGATACTCATTCTGTATCAATTAATTTTATTTAAGCTCATTAAGAATGGGCTTGAATATTCTATTTGCAACAGTGAAAACTTAAAAAAGACATAACTTAATTTTAACTAAAGGCTTTTTAGTTAGATTGTGCTAAAATGTAAGAATATTTTAAAAATTAATGCCAATCTTGTTCTTTTAGTATTCGCTTTTGTCATATTTTCTTCTTTATAAAGCGCAAGACCTCCTCACCCAGAATGCATCAGGTAGGGAAGAAGACGGAGTGTGAAGGCATTAGCACAATGCTGCCAGTGGACAGAGAAGACGGTGGCCAGCGACCGTCACCCCGTCACCGTCGTGTGTTTGCCCTTCAACAGAAAGTTCATTTAACTTTCCGCGCGGCAGTCGAATGTGCACTCGCGTGCCTCTTCTCTCAGAGGTCATTCAATGGACTGTAAGCCTCTTCCCTCCCTTTCCCTCCCTTTCTCTCTCTGCCTTCAGCACTTTGCTCGCCTCGCTCAAGTTCATCTGTCCTGCCAACTGAATCCCATTGCCAATTACACTCTCGCTTGTGCCGCTGGGCGCCATTACGTAAACCGTTCTTGAACGGATTTCTGGTTTGGCTTGTTTGCCCACTGCTATCACTTGATCCGCTCATTGCTCTAGGTTCATCAATTGCTAATTTGTATCAGTGCACTTTATATACACATCTCTATCCATTTGATACTAATCTCAAGAGTTGGCTGAACTTCTGGCATCAGAAACTTTGCCTTGTGACCAAAAAAGCAGCAATCATTGGACAAACCAGAGGTTGTCAACCCTCTTCAAGCAGCAGGGCTGACCAGAATAAAAAACTAAATGATAAATTCATTTTTTTATTGAAGAATATTAGTATACTTCAGCGAGTAAATGCATTAAAGCGATCACCAATGATCGTTAGCATCACCGACATCAAAGTCAATCACCGAACAATTAATCATAAACCTGCTGACACTGACTCGATGATGTGGCGGCAAATTAGCGTTCGATTTATTAGTTGTTGCACCCTTTGAAGTCTTGCGAGCGAGAGCGGTAACTGCATTATGCAAAGCAACGTTTCCCTTCTCCCTCTTTTTTAGTTCCCTTTTTATTTCGCAGTAATAATTATCGCTTAGTCGTATGATATATGATGATTCAATCTATTTAGTATCCATTAAGTGAACTGCATCAAAAAGGCAATAAATTGAAGACACGGAGCCCTGAGTTGGCTGAACCTTAGTGGCAACGGCGGCATGGCCTCCGTCCGTCTTTGCCATTGTGGACGGCATCAGTAGTGCTGGTCGAGTGGACTGCAGCAGCAGCCCGTCTGAAAGGAGAAAGAAGACAATGACACAGAGCCCGCCGCCCAGTCAGTGTCAATCACACTGTTCACTCAGTGTTCAATGACACCGGCGAGCACTACCTAGGCAGCGGACTAGTGGCCACAGAGACGCAACATCTGCCAGCAAGACTGCCAGCAAGACTGCCAGCAAGACTGCCAGCAAGACTGCCACCCTGACTACCACTACCGCCGGCAGTGCCATCACCAGGACAGTGCAACCAACCTAGATGTTGCTGGTGGTGCGCCTGTCCTCCCTGTACGACGCCGGTCATTAGTACTGATGATGATCAGTGCCCGGTGATGCAGTGCTACCCCTTCCCACTGCCACTACCTCCGGCGCGCACATAAGACCGACGACAATGATCCTCATCGACATCAACATCGACTGAAGACGGCGGAAGATAGCGCTGGGAGAGTGAGCGCCAGGAGACCGCTGGCATTGCAGCAAAGTTGAATGCACTTGAGAGAGTGTGCACAGTCGTTGCCGTTTGCCGAGTGTTTCACTCAAAGTTCATGTACCCCACTGCTACCACCGCCGCCACAGCAGCCATTGGCATGGAGTGAACAGGCAGCACTGGGAGGGAAAGATCGACGGCACTGAACCAGTCACTCTGGGCGCCACTCACGACGCCATGCCTTCCAACTACCACCACCACCAACAGCAGCACAAAGAACACAGGCAGTACCAGCACCACTACCATCAACATCGTCATCATCATCATCAGCGGCAGCCAACAACCGAGAGGCTGCTAGCACTGCACAATCAACCGGCCACAAAGAGCGCACCAGTTCTTCTTTGTAGTGGCATTTTGAGGTTATTATCGCCAGCAATGCATTTGGTCGTTGGCTGATCGTCGTTTGCTAGCCTGGCTCTATCAACATTCGATAGACAGTCGTTTGCAGGTTGCAACCAAAACAGCAGTGAGAGCCCGAAGTGAGAGAGATCTTTGCCGACTGGTTGCAGAAGGCTGGTGATTGCGCCCAGCGATACAACTGATTGCCGCCAGAGTTTACCGTCCTCGTGTGTTGTCTTGTTGCAGCAACTGCTGCACTGCACTGCTGATGCTCTCTCTCTCTCTCGCTCTTTGCTTTGCCTTGCTCTTCTACGCTGTGTTTGTACCCGCCCGTCCGTTAGTGGGCATGCCTCTACCCGTCCCGTTCGTTGCACCGTCCGATGTTGCCTGTCCGCTGTCGCTTCTCCCCGCGCTCTGTGCTCTGTACCGCGCCGCGCGCGTTCGTCGTACTCTCTGTGAACTTGCCTGGCGCTGGCGGTGATCAAAGGAAAAAGTTGTCGCTAGTCTCACTTGATCTGCAGTCCTCTCAGTGAGAGTATGTCCGCTGCGCTCTTCGGTTTCTCTCTTTCGTTTATTTTCCCCAAACACTTTGCGCGTCTTTCACTTGCCGTCTGTTCGCCTGTGCATCTCGCTGCCTAGTTGTGCCTCGGTGAAGCGTCGCATCACACCGCACCAACTGCAACAACGCCAGTCAAGTGATCATCGTCCACTCTCTTCCACCCATCTCCTGCCATCACCAGCACCAGGATCAGCACCAGCAGACTCAAATCAGTAGAGCGGCTGGGTAATTCCTACCAATATATACCCTACCATCGTGGCAGTTCAGTGATGTGTCCCCCTTTAAATGCCTCAGCATCTGTAGATTTTAAAACCACCTGTAGTTCATGTCAGTGACTGCACTCGCCACCATTTGGCCCCTACTACCAACAAGCATCGCCTTCTTTTGCTTTTACTCTTTAAATACCACCAGTTAAATTAGGTGATTTCTTTGTTTTAAAAGGTGTTGTCTTTTTCTCCCTCCGTCCCCCTGTGAGTTCCACATCATCCGTTTCTTTCCAACTCGAGTGCCTTAATATCCACTTTCCTAGAAGCCATATCTCGTGCTTTGTGATCCTCGTTTGTCACCTCCATCAC